ATGTCCACCCCATTGACTTCAGCTGGGTTGTGTGTGGACATAAACTAGCATAGAAGGAAGGCAGCACGATCCATATGCAGAGAATGTCATTCTTCTGAAGAACCTCGCTATAATTAACACACTTACAAATTTACCTGCAGTAAGTTCCTTCCAAGAGGAAGCTTCAGCAAGGTAGTCCAACTGCACCAGAAAGAGAATACCACTCCTTAAGCTCAACCATCCTGGAGTTTTTCAAACAGAAATTGGCACACTGAAAAAAATATTTTGCGAGAAGAGATCATTGCCATTGCAGTACGAGCACTTGGACTGAGATACAACAACACAATAGTCTTCTGAGTTCATTAGTGCAAGTTCCCACATATGAACCCTGCGGAATGCTGCACATGAAAAAGTGTAAACAACAGAGAAATTCTAATTCTCATTGGCGTGCCAGCCTCAACCCCCCCTGCCCTGACACAGTCGCCCTCCCCCCTTCATATATATGGTTTCGAGTTCCCTTTAAATTCACAACACCCTTCTCAACATCCATCCTGCTGGAGAACACAAGCAAGCTTCTTCACTAGCAAGGAAGAGCCAGAAGAACAGCTACCACGATTCCTAGATACCTAGAACGAAGCTGGGCAAAAAAAACCCCTTAGTATGCCAGATTCAGAGATCAACAGCTTGGAGATCACCAAGGATTTTTAAAGTTTCTTCAGGTGTCTTGGATTACTAGGAAAGACCCTTTATTACAGACGGAATCCCAATGACACAGTTTTCCTTGGAGCGGAAACCAAATGAGAATCCAGTACTTCAGATGAGTGGCAGCTAGCAAGAATAACTTAGCACTAATTTTGTCAACACATGAATTAAAGCCCATGCCATACTTTCAGATTATTTCTCTTTTAGTTGAAACTGTCTGGGAAACAAACAACAGAGAACAAGAAAACCCAAACGGCACCTCTGGAAAGTTGAAATCCCCATAGCATGCCCAAAGGCGAGGAGGCAGAAGCTCCTCAGGACCTTCTTTTGAGAGAGAAGACTCAGAGGGCCAGTCCTTAAAGGCATTGAGCACCTTTGGTGTCAACGGAAGGTGCAAATGCATAATGCCATTTAAGGTCAGGTATACTGTGAGCTCCGATACAGTCAAAGCAGAGCACTGCACTGGAGTCCAAGAGAAGCTAATAACATCCTAGGTTGCCCCTTAACTGATACAAATAATGTTTTCACTTGATTAAATAATCTCCCTGTCAAAATCACCACGGTGAGGCTGATGGGAGAAGGGGCTAAATATGATAATATACAAAAATAGAGATGTGAATATAAAATGGTTTTGTTAAAAATATCTTGAAATTTGACATTCACAGTGGTTAATACTAAAGTATTAAACTCATGCCACACAAAAGAGGAGGTATGTCAAAAGGTACATCAAAATCATACTGAGAGAAACTGGCTTTACCTAACACAAAGAGAACATGAGCAGTTAATACAGCAGGGGAACCCCTTCCAATGATCAAAACATCTTTTTATGAACAGTTGGTCCACTGAAAGTTAAATGCTTCCTTAGTAGGAAAAAATAATATATATATTTATTCATATATGATTTGTATACTGTGATATCAATATACACTGAAAGTACTGCAAGGATATATTATTCATTTTACAGTAAAACTAACAATCCATGGTTAAATTTATAGTTATAAATATGTTGTCTGTATTATATGTGGTATAAAAATATTTGACATTTTGTGGGCACCAGGTCAAAATAAGGTTTTCCTTTTTAAGGGACTAAAAATCACTCAGGTATATGCATATTACCCTTGTCAATTATGTGAAAATCATACTGACCTGGTACAAAACAGAATCCTACCATGCTGGCAAAATGAAGAACGTAATGTATAGCATGATAATCACTGCATGACAAGGCTAATTAGGAGAAAAACCAGAATTTACAGCAGCCCACTTCTAGCAGTATTCTAAATAAGAATATCATGATTTAAAGTGACACAGGCAGGAAGAAAGGATGCAGCAGAGATAAGAAAACCTAATCGGGATTAAAAAACCGAATTTTAAAATACACCCCCCAAAAATAATTGAAAATTCCAGAAGCAAGGAGAGAGCTCTAAATGCTAAATTATCTAGTTGGTTAACTGCATTAAGGAAAATCAGAGGTGTATTCATTTTAAAAAGTGTGTGATTTCTCTGGATTCACTGCTACAATTGCGTAGAAAACAAAGCCCTTTGTGCAAGGTTAGTATCTGTCCTGACTGCATTTTCAAGTTTATCTTTAGTTGTTGGCCCTCTGTAGTTAACATAGAGGATATTTGGCTACTTCCAAGTATCTATGGTATGCTGCTCTGAGCTGGACTTCTTTATTATTAATTATCTTAAACATTTTTGGTATTGACAAACCCCACATATCACCTCTCTGGACAAGTAACATATCCCAGTCCTTCCATATCCTTACTTGCTCAGTCACTTCACTGGATTAAGGCATGTTTTTGTGTTCCATTTGCAAAAATAAAAACTTTTTGTACAAACGTCTGGGTTCTTTTACACAAAATTTTTTCTTCTTATAGCCAAGCAGCAGTTGCTGTATAAGAAAATATATAAATATCCTTTTTTTTTTAATTCTTCTGTACAAATATCTTCAGTATTTCCCCTCCCCATCTAGTAACATTTTAACTGTACACTGTCCTACCTCATTCCTTTGCCAAGAGCTCCCTCCCCCCCCTCCCCAGTAGAATATTTTGTATTTACAGTTTCACAGCGGAGGCAGATAATGGGGTGGGGGGGCTCCCCCTCATGAGGAGTCCGTGCAGGGGGATGGTGGCGGTGGGTAGAGGTGGTGGGAGTAGCTGCGCTCTGTGTAGGGGGAAGGCGGACAGCTCTCGTAGTTCTCCTCTGCCGACAAGTACTGGCTGCGGGGGGTGGGCGGTGGAGGGACCGGCTCTGAATCATAGTTCAAGTCACTGGTGTAGCCCTTGCCTGTGGCTGCCGTGACCCTGCGGCTGGGGGCATAGTCACTGTCACAGACGTCTGTGCTGCAAGGCGTCGTGGGAGGTGCAAAATGCCGGTAGCTGTAAGGCCTGTAGCTGCAGTGGGAAGACCGATGGGGAAAAAAAAAAAAGGGTCAACGTATAGAAAGACTTTGGGCGATGCCTGTGAACAAGCTGGGGGGTGTCAGAGACAGAAATGGTTAATGATTTATGCATGCTAGGATTGCCAAGGGACTTTTGCAGGCTTCTGCAGGACTTTTGCATTATACCTCTGATGGCCCATCAAAGCCCATCTCCCCCCCCCCCCCCCCCCCTCCCGCCAGTCTTGAAGGGCAGGAAAAATCCTTTTGCCAGACCCCTCACAGAAACTCAGCACAGACCCAGGAGACGTTGGAGGCTCGTGGCATGGCCTGTGACACTTAACCATGGATATAGCAACTCATAACTTCTTTGAGTGTGGGGGCTTCCCTCCTTCACCCCCAACAGATCAAGGCCACCACTTCAACTGACAGACCTGGAAGCTGCAACTACCAAGTGTCATTGCTGGACCCCATGGGCAGTGATTATACACATCTTTCAGCTCTCAGTTTTCTTTCCCTTACTCTCCTTTACCCTTATCTTGTCTTTCCTTTCTCTCTCTTATGCATTTTCCCCCCGGGGTTACCCCTATGATAGATAATATAGATGACAACAGCCAAAACGCTAACATACCTGTTCAAACAAAATTGTTAAAATGAACCCTACCTATATGCGTTTAAAATAAACCCTACCTATATATGTTTTCAAACACTGATTATTCAGTTTCGTTTCACTCTAATCCACCCCAAAGGAATTATTGATAAGAACCTGGGTTACCCCCCCCTTTTTTCTGGGGTGGGTCGTAACAGGGGGGATAAGCCAAAGTGGAAACAGCAAGCAGGTGAACCCCTCTGCAGCCATACACAGCATCACGCTCCTCTCGCTCTCACTGACTTCCCTGCAGAAGGGCCCACCTTCGACCACACACATTACAGTGTCAGTCAAATTACAGCAACCAGTGAAAGTGATGCTAATTATTAATTATCTACAGACAACACATTCCCTAAGGACTTAATTGAGGTAGAAAAAATTGCTCCTGAGACAGTGGGGCAGGAAGGGCACGAGTGTGCGTGTGTGTAATAGCTGTGTTGCAATTACATGGAGAAGATATTCTGTTTGTATTATGCAATTGCTGGATACAAACTTCTAAGCCCAGACAAGGAAACTGAAAATTACCTGGCATATTCATAGCAGTCAGGAGAATCATTCCTTAGAGCAGTAACTGGGATGAAATTCTCAAAGGCTGCTACCGCAAAACATCTTTTAAAATGAGCCCAATATAGTTCCAAGGAAACAAATTAGAAAGGGAAGTGCATGGTAGCTACAACTCCCAGTATCACAGTCAGTTGGGGATGCAGCTCCTCTATAGTCAAGTCAGAATATTAGGAAAGAAGTCAGATCAGAAGCAGCAAGATCAATGTTTAGTTTTGGGCAGTGGAGCATTTGGAAAACATTGAACCCTATGCTACACCCCTAATACCATTTTATTGTACTAAAAGGCATATCAGCTAACCACTGATCAGCAAGACTCATGCTGGTACCAGAATTTAGGTTTCTTTCATTAGAAAATTACTTATAATTTTAGAAGATTTTTTATATGGCTGCAAGGGATCATTATAAACATCTGGCCTGACCTTCTGCACAACAGATGCCGTATTTTCTGCTAATGGAGAAGGGATGACTGTTTAGCCCCAGAGGCCTCATTATCCAAAAAACCCCAAAGGTGCTGTGTTAGGGAGGCACATCTTTCAACAGACAAATACAGCACTCTCTTCTCATTGACCAGATCTGCTGGTGATTTGGGAGGGGAACATTTACACCCTTGGGTAGTACAGGTCTGTTCCTCTATTTTTGTTCCTCTAACTTGCTATAAAATGATAAATAACTCCAGCATTCTTAAAGGAAAGGTAGGAAAGACACATTCAAGTAAACAGAGACAAAGCATATATGCCCATAAATACTAGCCAGAGAAAATAAGCAAAAGGTTGGCAACCTTTTCCAGATATTAACCCTTAATATGTCAAACTAGAAATTCTGTGGTTTATCTAGACCACAATATTAACTGTTACTTCTGACCTCCTTTATATTGTGAACTTTTTCTCCACAGGGTGTTTGCTTATAATTTCTGATAATTATGTAAAAAGTTATTTTTGACAGAAGCCTAAAAAAGGGCTGGGTTCACTTCAGGGTAAGTATTTTTGGCTCAAAGTTATTATGGTACTGTGTTTCTTTTGGCATTTAGCTAGTTTTGTGATGAGTGCTGTCATTCCCCCTAAATCAATATACTCAAGAGATGTATCACCAAATCCACTTAGTGTATGATTTACCTCAAACTGCTGCACTTGTACACACGCATCAGTGACCTGATACATGTGAACCCATTTAAGCACTAGTTTAGTGCTTGCAGAATTAGGGCCTTTGATTGCAATTCTTATGGAGCAGAGGCTGTCTTTATTCTGCATTTTCTACACTAACTCTTTGATCCTGACAGAAGCTATTGTAATAGTAATTACCTGTAGGATCTATGAGTGGATGGGCTGTTTGAAGAATAACCGAATTCCATGGTATAGTGTGAACGTTCAGTAGCTGGTGATGGTGGTGGGTTCAAAATCTAAGGAGTAAAAAAGGAAAAAAGCCACAGTTAAAAAGATACAAAGTAAACTCAAGAAAACACCAGTTTATAATTTTTCTTTTTAGTAATGTATTATAGGAACCTTAAATAAAGAACTGCATGCATAGCCCCTCCCAACAAATGCGATTTTTCGTTTGTTTATTCCCCAGTTCTTCAACAGACACTCAAAATGCCATTTGTTGCCATTCCTATTAGCTACTACTAAGCTCTTCTCAAAAAATGCTGACTGCTGTGGCTATTTTGACGTATGCAGTGCTGAAAAGTAAAGTTGAAGCTAGCTGCTCAGTACTAGATTGTCACTAGGGAATACCACTGCCCCAGGCAAACTGGCAGATATCTACTTCTGCTAGCTGTAGTTCCCAAGCAATACTCTGCTTATAATACTTGCAGCATGCTAGCTAAGGCAAGGATTCTTTCCCTATACAGGCATGTTCTTACTGAACACAGCACTTGGATTAATTAAAAGCTGATTTAAAGCAGGAGCGGTTGATTATCAGAACTGAAAGCACACAGTTGAAGATTTCAACCTTCACTGACCAAGCATGTAACTCTTAAACACTTGACAGTGGCTTGGTGAACCTAATAAAAATATCTAAAACAACCATAACAGATGCTAAAAGTGAAGGGATGGGGAGCAGCATACTACCTACTTGTGACTAGAGGGATGTTGTGGAGCTGTAAAACATTTGTTTACTTATTTATCTGTCACTTGTAAGACACATGACATAAAACTTCATTTTAATTCTTTGAAAGTCTATACAGAATCAATCATAGCTTTACCTTCAGAGTCATGTGGCAGAGTATAATGAAAGGAGATCTCTCTGTCAGAGCTGCTTAATATTTACAGGGATTTTTTCATCTCCCCTGACATTCAATCTAACATTTTCTTCTGGCACTGAGCTCTCTCATAACTTTTTTAAATTAAGCGAGAATTTCTAGATTGTTTTGGAAAAAGACAATCTCATCTTCCTTCCCTTTCAAAATCACATGTACCTGATACTGAAACAAGTTTATCAGGCTAGAAACCTAAACCAAAACATTAATTTGTCAATCAATTAGACTCAGAAGACACCATTACTTCTCTGAAAGTTATTAAAGGTCTACAAATAATAGAATAACTTACTGGAGGAAAGTAAGTGCCTTTGGTACTTGAAGAACTACTGGAAGAGGCTCCAGTAACATGGGCCCTGTCATAGGGCGGTCCACTGCTCCCTCCCATAATGCTTAGGGAGCTGATGACAGATTTACCGCGAGACATACCTGAAGAACAAAGATGTATGTCAATATTCAGTTGAGAAAAGGAAGCTTAAAAAAATAATCCAGAGGATAACAGCTGTATAAGCACAATTTGTAGAGCCAAAATTAATCATCTTGGTATTAAAAACAATTTCAGGGCTCCTTGGTGGACAACAGAAATGAAGACTGTCATGGAATAAATGTGTTGGTTTTGTGCATCACCTACTCAACTGCAGGACTTGGCACTGGGCTATACTAAAGCTGTATGAAGAGAAACACATTTCTTGCACTTGAATGGCTTGAAAAGACTTGAGAGAACAGGCATTCGGGCACCATTTCTGTGCCTCAGAATGAACTGTGAAACTTACTGACCACCTGAACTGAGAAACTGAAATTGTGCAAGAGAAGAGAGGCTTTCTTGTTCTTTCATTTCAACATCATTATGTGAGCTTTTGTTAGTGACTGAAGCACAATGGCACAGTGTCCAAGTGGAAAACGGTGCCCGAAATGATGGGGAAAATTCTGCTCAAAGAGTCTTTATGCAGGTTATTACACAAAGTAATTTGATGCATTATTTTAACCCTGTAACAGCCTCACAGAACTTCTGTTCTGACAGGAATCTGCCGGATCCGAAGTCACAAGTTATAGGACATATTTAATTAATATATGCAGAAGTAATGCATTTAAATGAAGTGCAACATTGTGATGAAGTCTTACTTCTTAAACAGTATAAAGTGTGCTTGGACTGGTGTTAGCAACTTCATCATCAAATGAAGTAAGCTGAGACTAAAATTACTGCTGGTCATTATAGACCCTGCAAGAAGTTTCACAAGCATAAAAACTCAGTCTACAAACCTATCAAGAATAATTACATAATGTTTAAAGTCCCATGAACATAACTCTGTGTAACTTTACCCTGTACTGTCATGACACTTTGCTGATGCTACAGTAGTCCATAAAGAGGATTCTTTAGTAGCAGAAGAAGAAAACTCCCACATTATGTGCATCTATTTGAGCTTGTGGTTCCGCTAAGTACCTAAATGCCTGTGAATAGCATAGGTAAAGTAGCAGTTCATTATTATAAAGAAGGATGGCAACAAGCCTTGAGAGTCCTGGCTTCCAAGAATTATGCATCTGGAACAGACATTTCCTGTATGAATACGCACAGCTGTGTGGTACCAAAGAACAGGACAAGGATCACACCATTTACTTACCAGGAAGAGACCCTGACAAAGAGCTCGGGTGAGGCACATAACCCAGAGGTACAGAGGCCGGTCCATGGACCACATAATCATTGGTCATTGTTTCTCCATCTCCCTTCATGCGTGGGCACAGTACCCTCTGGCAGATGAAGTACATCGCTCCAACCACAAAAACTGTGAGGATCACACCAATGATGGAGCCGACTGTGTTGTTGGGCTGTGGCGCAGGTTCCTCTGTTGTGTCTAAAAGGGAAAAGGAAAATCAGACTACGAAAGTTTAAACCAACATGAGTTTTCCTTATATCTTTCCACAAAGGAAAAATAAAGACCTCCTCTTCTGTAGGCAGACAACCACTTTCAAATTAATATATGGGAGGAACAAACAGGCCCCAGCACAGGTGGCACTGTGCTGGGGACTCCAGTTGTGCTTTTTCTTGTCATTAAGACAGTGAGAACTTATCATGTCACACCTGTTCATGTCACATAAGCACCTAGGTTATCCCCCAGTGTAACAGACTGACATTCCCTTTTCTCACCAGTGTAACATTCACTTATGGTGCATCACCTCTACTGTTCAGTAGTGATGAATTTTGGGCTTGATACTATTTATTAAACTACCTAATCTGCAACACATCTGACCCACCCTCAGATAGAGCTGAGCATCAGCTTGAGAGGTGCCATTTTATGAGGAAACTGTGTCCAAAACAATTACTCAACAGTCAAAATGAGTGGCTTTCCCTACAACACCAATTCTAAGCAATGACGTTTTTGACAACTCCCCACCTGTGCTTCATGAATTTGACAGGAAAAGCAGACTAAAGTATTTTCCTGTTCTAGTCAGTGTTTTACATCTTACATATTACTGCACGTTTTTTCCTCAACACATTTTCTTCTCCCTGACCACCAAACCCACACTTTAACCAGCTTGTCACAGTCTACAGAGATAAGTAAACAGGCTTCTGATCATACTGAAAGAGGGATGGTGACAACTGCAATTTTATTCTGGAAAGGCAAATTTTCCATCTTCTATAACAAAATTGGAAAACATATAAACTATAGTAAAGGTAACTACACAAGTCTGTGATAATGTCACTGGTAACTTGGTAGCATGACAGAACATCTCCTATCATTCCTTCTCAAGATCAAGGGTCCAGCTCTGGCTTTGCATTTTCACCTTACATGTGTGTCACCTGTGATATATGGATCTCTAACACAAGAAGAGATGTCCCTATTTAAAATTTCTTTTAAAGCACCAACAGTGAAAATGAACTTTTAAGTTGGAATTTTAAAGGCAGTGGTATCCTTGTAGTGCCCTGGAGATTTCAAGTTAGTGGATATCATGTTACAAATCATATATCAAGCTCAGAATTATATCTTTTCAAGATAAAAAGGAAATTTTAGAAGGTTTACTCTATAAACAGAGTGCTCCTCTAATTCTAAAAGCTATTAACTCTCTGGATGAGAAAACCATGAAGCAGAGCAGCTATATATAAAAGCCTCAGGGTGATAGATTTTTTTTAACGCTGCACCAACTCAGCATACTAACACATTATAGTAAAACAAACCTTATATTTCTTTTAAAAGTTTAAAAAGGTGAGTGGAAAAATAACTAGCCTTCTCTGCCTCAGAAACTACTTGTTCAGAACACAAATTAGTTTTTTTATTTCTATTCCAGCACGTTGTGCATTAATTGCATGACAGAAGTTATGAAAAGGAACATTAATTCTAGGAACAATTAATTCAGTCTGGTTGACAGAATAAAATCTAACTTGTAGGGAATGTGAGAAACAAATTTTTGATGCTGCAACCAAATTTCTAGTCTCAGGTAATAGACTTACAGCATCCTTGCTCATCTGAGCTGTCACTGCAGTCCAGGTTGTGATCACATTTCTTGCTTTTCCCAATGCACTGCCCACTGGCACAGCGGAACTGATCAGTTAAACAAAGCACTGCAAAGAGAACCACCCACACACCAAGTGTCAGTATCAAAGGCTTCTCCTCTTCAAAATTATTATTAAGAAATGAAGACACCAAAGTGTACAGTCAGGAGTATTTTGAGAGAGTCTAGAGTGCTGCAATTCTAATTTCTGAAGGTAGCCAATGACACTACAAGTCCCTCATGTGAACCATGCAAAAGTGATTCAGTGTTTTGTTGAGGATAGTGCACACTGGGTTACCTGGTCCTTACTGCCTACTTACAGTAAGAACACTACAAGATAAAGATACCTCATCTAAAATAACTCAGAAGCAGAAGGCCATTGAGAAGATAGCCACTTATCCCACGACACAGTTATTTACTATAAGAATCACCAAATCTAAGCATTTACTGTAATATAAGAGAGAAGAATTAAGTTATTAAAAATAAATCTGCCAAACCATGATGATAAAATTGTTTAAGAAAGATAAATGTGGTTTCTCATTGTCCTTGTGCTCTTCCTGTAAACCAGAGACCTCCTTGACCATGAGACAATATATTTTATTTGTCATTATGTTTTTAAACTGAAATGAAAGACATAATATAAAACTGAAGCTTTGTCAGTACACTCAAAAAATAAACTACCACTTTGGGAAAAAAGGTGCTGCAGACAAGGTGCTGGTCACTGCTGTTTACACATATTCCTGCCTCCTGTTTCTCATAAATCCAGAAATATTTTCCATCTTCAGTTGAATTAAAAACTTAAACTAAAGGCTTTTCTTATTTGTAATCAATGTGAATACTCTGAATGGACCACTTTGAAGGTAATAAACAGCCCCCAGTCTGACATCTCCAGTTGTTGAATGACAACTGGGAAGCTAACTTTCATCTCAACTGGCTAACAATCACCTTTCATCACACAGCCATTTCTGTATCAGTCTGTATGTTTTTGTTTGAGCTGAAGCACATCTTTTCCATCAGCAAAATCTGTCCTTTCCAAAATTAAAAGAACCTAATTCTCATTGTACTGACAACAGTGCTTCCCTCTGTAATGATGGCTTAAATACTCTCTTTTGCTGTGCTCTACAGGAAGAAGAGGTCTCCAGAAATCTCATCTGTCTCTCACTACTGCTTACTCAGAAAAACTCATTTTGTTCAGGTATTGTAAAATAAACAATCCCACAACCTTTACTTGGTACAAGGTACACAAAAAGCAGTGACAAGGAATTGCTCCACTTAGTAGTTCACTCACAGATACCAGGTTTTTAGAACTTAAATTCATACCATTTTTAATAGTACTTTTTATAGTGTTTAGACCACTGTGATGGAGATCAGTCTTAATTTCCACTTCACAGGTAGAGAAACAAAAGTATGGAGTTACAAAATAATTTCCATTGAATAGATCAGTTTAAAAACTAGCAGAAACTTGGATCCTTCCAAATCCTACTCAGTAATAACACTGGTATTTATCATAGTGTCCCTATGACAGCTCTGTTTTCACCACACTTCAAAATATCCTCTGTACCTTCACAGTTCTTCTCATCTGAGTTGTCCTGACAATTTGCTTCTCCATTGCACCGGAGGGCACTGTCTATGCACTGTCCACTTTCACACTGGAACTGGGTATCTGAGCACACCGGGCAGTTCTTTTCATCACTGTGGTCTTCACATTCAGTGAAACCATCACAGCGCCAGGCCACCGGGATGCAGTCAATCTCACCTGTGAAACAGGTGAATTGCTGAGGGGAGCATGTTGGTGGTTCTTAAAAAATCAAGCAAACAAACAAAAATTAAAAATCCAGGTGAACAAACAGCTCATGTAGGTGAAGAGCTCAGCTGCTTTCACTTATCAAAGTAGCTGATAAACATGCCATGTCACAAGGTAACTTCCACATCCACTGCCTCCACAGTCATTTGTGTAGACCTTGAGCCCCCTGTGACTGATGAAGGCTCACATCAATGGGGGCTTGACAGACAGAGAACAAGAGGAACAGAGAAATAGCCCCATAAAACATGATTATTTTCTTCCTTTCCCATTTAAGACTCCTACACCCGTCTCTTAGTAGGTCTTCAACTCTTCATTTGAAGTCACCATGCTTTTCTACTCCCCCTTTCCTGCGACACCACTGTATACACAGCTGATGGCTTACTCTCTTTTTAAATGTTTGACAGTCCTTGTATAGAAAATGTTAAAAGGATGTAATGTGCTGTACATGGATGCACTGTGACTCAGTGTTTAGTTATGTGCCCTTGCCAGTTCTGTTCAGTCAAAATTCTTTTAAAACAAAAAACTGCTCCAGCTAGTCAAGTTCCACTACCTCAACACATCTGTTAGCTGTTATTTAATATTTACTACATTAACTGTTAATCTCATGCAATAAGTAAGTGTGGGATTTTTTCCTCTTTTTTTTAATCCCCGTTTCCTCCCTCTGCTTTTTGGCCTGGTATTAAACTTGCTCTGAGAAAATATCTGGATTACGTTAGCTCTTATTCCATTGTGAGACCACATGCTGCCTCGATGGCGAGATGATTGCATAATAAATCCATTCACTACAGTGGTACAAAGAGATCCAAGCACTTAAGTATCTCTCCTCTCCTCCATTTCAACCCCACCCCTGGAGACACCAGGGTGTGGGTTATAGTGACTGAATCACCATGGAGGAAGCAACTTGCCCTTCTAGCACTCAAGTTCAGACAGGGTGAGCTTGAAGAGGACAACAGAGAAGAATAAAATGGCACAGACAGTGCAATATGCCAAAATGTGAGAATCTATCCCTATTTGAAAAAGGAGAACATATGGAGTGATAGAAAAAAGTGATTAAAAAATCATACAATTAAAAAATGAAGTCGAAATAATTTAGTGGTCTTAAGTAGAAAGGGTGAACAGAAATCCTTATTCAACAGTCAGTGATTTTTTTCCTCTTCCCTTACTCCTTCTCAGTACTTCTAGATTTAGCTGAATGGGGTGGGAAAGAGGAAATGTGTAAAACTGCGTAACGGCACCTGGTGCGCTGCCATGTCCTTGTTGCTCAGAAGCTGGCCCTGAAGATGGAGACATCCCACAACCCCAAAGGTGACAGCTCAGTGACATGGAGCATGGGAAAGACTTACCTCCACAGGACAGCTCATCCTGCAGCAGAACAAGGTGGACTGGGCAAGAACAGCGTGTGGTGCCATCGCCCTTCACAATGCAAATGTGCGAGCAGCCACCATTGTCTTGAGAACAAGGATGTTGTCCTGTGATTTTAAAAATAAGAAAGACGGGGACTGACAAGGAATCTTCACTTCTTTTATAACCTTTCAGTGATTTCTCTGGGCCCATCGGTCTCCCTTCACTACTTCCTTCCCCCTGGGGAGAGCATTACTAAAAAATCCCTGAAAGAGTTGTATTTTTCCCTTTACATCAGTAATTATAACGCACATTGGTAACTGTCCATGATCTGAAACCACTGTAAGAATTGTGCTGTGGCATCTACTAAAACAGTACTCAAAGTATTTTGCTTCTTGTGTGAGGTAGAATTAGTTCTCTGCAGCAAATGGTAGTATTAGCAATACAAAAAGATGTCTTGGATTCCATACTTCATTTTCTCTATCAAAGACCATTAAAAAAGTAAACTTTTCTAATTTATGAATTCTGAAGCTTCTGTGCTGTCCCCAAAATTCAAATTAACATGCTCTAGATAAATATGTCTCTTCATTTGAATGTTTAATAAGGACAACATACTTCTCTTGGAACTCCTGACAGATTTATTGAGATTAAAAGCACACAAAACTAGTAGTAGTCTGCACTGATGTTTTAATTAAGCATCCCCAGAAATTTTTCTACATATTTCTCCCAGGCATGCACCACAGCCTACTAACCAGGCATATTTCCTCCAGGATGACAGCAACTCCACTGCTTTAACCATCTACCTCCCATCATTTCAAGAGTTATGTGTGTGGGGAAAGGCCTGGTAAACAGAAAAATTTTAGAAGTGCCGCCATGTTCAATACAAATTGTTATTTAATACACACTTCCTTTGTCCAATGCAACATTGCTCTCTGTCATTCACTTTCAATATGAATTACCACCATCAAAAACTGTTCACTTTGCCTTCAAGGTAGGCAGTCCATTGAAACATTTGCTGCTAATAAAAGCCTCGAGAGCTGTGCTTGCCTAAAGAGAGCAAACAACTAATAGCAGTTCACTAACATGATCCAGAAAATCCTCTCCTGGGGATAACAGGATGTTTCCACTGTGCCTAGAGACACTCAAATGCCAGGTGCCTGTATGACACTACTAATAAAATTGTCATTGGCAACAAAATATTATACTGCGGTTGTGAGAGATTTCCAATCCATTGCCAACTGCCTGAAGGAAACAACAGAACCCTGACAACCAACCGACACCAACTTCTGGTCCCTCCAATCTGCACTGATGTTGGTCAGCAATAAGGCAAAAGAAGCTGGTGTCTCTGTGGCCACTCCTTGGCTCGAGTCTCACAGGCACTGTTTGCACCTGCAAACACGGATTGCACTTACTGTATTCCTGAATGTTGAGTTCTTTCACAGCATGGATGTCACTGAGTTGTGCAATACGAGCTTGGACCTTTGTACGTCCTTCTCGACCAGTCATATCAATCTTTTCAATCATCTGCTGCTGTCTATCAATCCAATACAGCCAGTTTTCAAATACAGTGAGTCCTACAGGCTGCAAGATATTAGAGTCTTCCAAAACAACCCGGTTAGCACCTGCAGAAAGGAAAGAGTGGTGTAGTTCAGCTAGAATAAACTCAATTACTGTCAGAAACACTTTCTACACTGCTCACACCACTGTTTTTCACTACTTCTATGCTACCAGGTAAGCCTACTATAAAAACCCAAGCAATCCATGGTCCTCTGATGCACGACTAATGCATTTTGCAGACAGATTTTTTTTCTGCTTTCATCAAGAAGACAGTTTTTGTGCTTCAAAAATATCTACTGTACTTAAGAAGCACCTGGAATTGGGGGCTCAGCTTTCATGAGCCTTTCCAGTCTTCTCTCAATATGGTGGAAATTGGTAGTTCTTTTCATTCTTCTTTCCCTTTTTGGAGAGATCAACTTCTTTGTCTTGCCATACAACAGGGAATAAGAAGATGGATTACTAGCTTGAGCTAACTAATACAAGATGAAATCCAAGTGAAGGTAAGGTAGTTAGTATTTCTCACATGAATTAGGAGATTAACATGACATCTGACTTCCTCATATTCTTTTCTTTCAACTACATTACCTTCACTAAGCTATTCATGCTAAATTGGGAATGCTCCTTTCTTCCTAGAGAAGACTTACTTTCCTGAGTTCCTTTAGCAATCATGCTAATTCTTGGTTAACACTCCATGTAAGCAGAAGACAGCCAAAAGTTGTTTTAAAGGTATCATTAAAGACTGTCCAAAGAGAGTGAAGACTTTATAACTCACACAGAAAACAAGTATGTTAATCAAAACCTGAGGGCTTAGGAGGGAGGTTTAAGCCATGGTTCCTTTATTTAACACAATATGACATGGTCATTAACACTCAAATATTCAGCGTGTTTATCAGATTCTGACCACAGCTGAAACAATATCACATAGTCTACACTTAGGCTACAGCTTGAAAATTTACATACAAATCCTGGTATTTCAGCTATCTGGGCTTATTTTTCACTTTTACTTTAGCAGACAATAGTTTTACCTATGTTCATCCACAGAACAATTTCCAGCAAGTTTTTATATTTAGTTCTGTAAGAAATATACTAGAATAACTGAATACCATGGGAAAAAAATCTACCACATCTCTACCATCCCACACAAGATAATGTAACAGGACAGAAGACACATGCATTTCATGATTTTATACTCTGAGTAAATTCTATCCCTCTGCTTTGTTTAGTAGCAAGAAGAGGTTTTTCCCTTGTTGAGAATTTTATGAACAGTATGTCAGGGATGACGACTAACAAACAAATTCGATGGTGAAAAATGTATTTACCTCCTTTTTGCTAAATGCACACAGAGCTCAGAAGTTAAGCAACCTTTCAAACATTTACTAAGCGTTAGAATCCAAGCAGAATATGGAAATTCAAATCAGCTAGACTGGGGTCTCATCCACCATTTTGGAACAACATCAGCAATGGTCTGATTAAGAAAAGATGTTGATGGATTCTGAAGGAGGTTATACCCTCATGTAGAAATGAACAGACTGAGTGATGTAAGTCAATCTAAATAACTGCAACCATCTATTAACACCCATGAACATGACTAATTGAATAGGGAAAAGGTGAGAAAACAGAAACCTGAATCATGAGAAGAAAAGATAAGCTGGGAATAGGGCAAAATGCAAAGATGACAGTAAGAAATACAAAAATTAAGACACTGACCTACCCAAATGGAGTCTATACATGCCCTGCTCTGCCATGACCGTGTCAATCAGCATGGCATTTTGCAGTATGCACTCAGAAGCTTAAAATTTTCACTTCCTTAATGTTTTAATCTTTCTTTTTAATATTCATGACCAAGTGTAACTGACTATTTCTGACTAAACAAGAGCCTAAAATCCTTTCTCCCATAAACCTACAATAAAATCTGAAGCTGACTCAGAGTGCTAGTTTCCTTTATTGGGAATGTCAGGTGAAAGGGAGACATGATTAAGAGGAGCTTTGTCTCCTAGCATCACCATCCTCTCTCTAGCAATACCTTTTACCAAAAGACTTAAACCCAACCAAATAAATACAAAAATCAGGACACATCCCATAGCTCATCCTATTTCCAAATAAAAATTACTTAATTCCAGAACCATTAGACATTTCCAAATCACACTAAATTTTCTGGAACAGAAGAACTAATTTCCAAATAGTTTCCATGGCAGGGAGCTAATTCCAGTCATCTTTTCATAAATCATGTGAAGACTCTAGTTAACTCCAGTAGGATCTTCCATCTGGGCAGAATACCAAGTCCTAACTGCATGCCTGAAGGACAGGGAGGAAAAGAGACTGCATCACATAAAAAGGATTCTAACTGTACTTGTCTTTATGAGTACTGGCATCTACAGAGTTGACAGAGCAAGAGACTGTGAATGTTTTAAATAAGCTAACATGCAGAAAAATTACTCTGCTGGTCAAAAGAGCCTATTAATCAGCATTCCTAAGCACAGGAATGCATCTCAGCAATTAGCAATTTATCATGGTGATTACAGTAATCTATTTGTGGTGCAAATGCCAAAAAGCAAGAGAGGTTTTGGAATGATTTTAGTTTGTGTTCTTCGAAATATGGTGAGCTTTTACTGTAATCCAACACTGGTGATCCAACAACCACATCTTTAAGAAAAAAGAAAAGCAGAATCATTAAAACCATACCAAACTGGAATTTAGACCCATCTCCTTCTCTGGTGTTTTAATTTTGGGCAGATAACAAACAAAGAGAGAAATAAAGCATGGTGTAATATTCTGCCACCTATTACTCTATTCATGCAAACTCTGGATCTGGGACAGCTTAGAACATACTGAGCTACACCACCCCAATTTTTTTTTTCCAAAAATAATTCACAAACTCAGGTTATGTCTTACTGTTTTAAACTAGTAAACAATCAGGATATTGCAATTCATTAGTGACCCTGAACCTTCCAGTGACACACCACTGAAAAAAAATTACTATTTTTCTGAGCCTCAATTCCAACCATCTAGAGAAACTGTTTTCCAAAACAAAAGCTTATTCTAGCAACTTAATATAAGGTTGAAAATCACAGCAGTGTCAATGGGGTTACACACTGATAGTTTGAATGAAGGTATCGTGTCATAAGTGACAGACATTACTACAAACTACTGTAACTCTTGTTAAGTTCTCAAACTTGCTCACAGATTCCAAAGCGTGTCCTTATTTCCTTACAGGTGTACTTATGCTTATGACAGTAAAAACCACTGCTGAAGTAGAAGGACATGCACTATTCAAATTGGGGATGGGCTTACCATGGAGGAAGGAGAATTTCAGCTCCTGTCCTCCAGTAGCAGGAGTGAGATATGGGCATATACCCCATCAGCTAACAGAGATGGGTATGTGTGTGCTTAGAACATGCTCTCACTTAAAGCAGCAACATCTGGCCTAATCCATATCACAAATTACTACTGATGCTATGTGAGGCAGCTGAGCTGATCCAGCAGTTTGCTGG